GTGGAGGCACCAACGCCGAATGATCCTGCGGTGTTGCCAAGGGCTGCAGCTCCAGCAGACTTGAGTGATGACGATGTGGCCCGCCGGGCAAGCATTCTTCAACGATGTGGAGGCACCAACGCCGAATGATCCTGCGGTGTTGCCAAGGGCTGGAACTCCAGCAGACTTGAGTGATGACGAAGTGGCCCTCGGGCAAATCTAACGAAGACCCCCCGAGCACGAGTCCTGAAGCCTCATGTCGTTGATGGATCAAGCTCATCGGACAGCAGGGATGATGGGGAGGACCTCATTTGGAGAGGCAAAGAACAAAAAGGTTGTTGAAGTTGTTGATGGTGGCAAAGGCAAGGCGCAGATGGATGTGGATGACGAGGAAGAGGATATTGAGGAGAGCGAGGAAGATGTCGAAAACTTTACGTTGCGGTCGCCAAGGGCGAGCGACATATCCAACGACGACAACGAACTGGATGGCGACCTCACACGTAACGTGGAGCGGGGTGACCTTGATAGTGACCTGGAGTTCTTGCGGCCTCAGGGGAAGGACTTCAACGCATGCGTCGAAGTGGACAAGGACTTCGATGATGACGCTGACAGGGCGAGGGCACAGTCCCGTGCTCATCGTGATCGCGCCCTCGTGGAGGAACGGGTTGGAGAGGAAACAGCAAAACAAAGTGCTGTCCCCCCTCCGAGGAGGATGAACTATACGACGGCGGCAATGGGCGGATGCCTACCGGCGGAGGGGGTTCAGCAGCAGCGGCATATGGAAGGCATGCAATGGGAACAACAAGAGGAAGACGTTCAGCAGCAGCGGCAGCGAGAGGAAGGACTGCAGGAGCAATGACAAGAGGAAGGCCTGCAACATCAGATTCAAAGGCGAGTGGATGTGCTTCGGCAACAGCACCACTGGCCACAGCACGATGGACTGCATCGGCAGCAGATGCAGCAACAGAATGATCGACAACAACAGCAGCAACAAGAACAACGGGACGGGCTAGAACAGCAACAGCAGCAACAAGATGGACTGCATCCGCAACAGCAGCAGCGGCAGCAGACAAAGCAGAATGGACCACCGCAGCATGACCAGCACAAGGATGGAGCGCAGCAGCAGCAGCAGCAGCCAAAGCAGGATGGACCGCAGCAGCATCAGCAGCACAAGGATGGAGCGCAGCAGCAGCAGCAGACAGAGCAGATGGAACGCAGCAGCATCAAAAAAACAAAAAAACAAAAACAGTGCATTTTTTGCATGCCTGGGGTACCCCGGGTGTGGTCCCCCACCCTGGGCAAGGCGCCCGGGGCGCCCGGCCGGGCGCCGCAGGAAAGCTAGGCCACTGCTGAAGGGGGGGKGGGGGGGGGGGGGGGGAATTGACCCCCTTTTTGTTGTCGCTGGGAACCCCGGGCGGGTCAGCCCCCATGCAAGTTTGCCTGGCTCGCCCGCTCGGGTGACTCTGGTGACATATGTAATAAGACGTCAACAAAGTACTGCAGGTACAGTGCAGAATCTTAGGAGAGCAAGAACTTGAAAGGGCATGGTTCAATTTCTTCGCCGGTAAGGTGCGACAATGAAACAACTAGATAAAGTGCTAGATAGAACGGGAAGGCTGAGTACAAGAGCAAACCACTTGTGTGGCAATTTTGGACACTTTGAAGTGTTAGAACCAGCAGCAGCGATTGAAAGTCTAATGCAAGTGCATGCTGAAGTTCATCTTCCCTCATCACTGTGAATGGCTTTTCATTTGCTGTTCTCATTGTTATGTTTTAAATCGATTTAAAGTGCAAGGTTCTCAAACTGACTTTGCTTTCTATTCTCGCGTGCCTTATTCTCATGTTCTTGTGCAGTGTATCGACGAATGGCTAGGTCGTCAACCTCTTTGTCCAGTTTGCAAAGTCCACATTGGAAGCCACTAAGGTGTATCTCTCCTGTCCTCTGGACCTTTGAGTACAGGGAAGCAGAACATGAGAGAGAGAGAGAGAGAGAGAGAGAGAGAGAGAGAGAGAGAGAGGAACATTCCACCCATCTAGGATGGATCAGGAGCTATCGTCCTCGGCAGACCTGTGAGGTCAAGGGCTTCCTAGGCAGTGTGCAGGTGTCATATGCCAATTATGCGGGGAATGCTGGCTATTTAACATGCCATGATGTCTCCATGGGAAGCAACTGTTATAAAAGTGTTGTAATCGCATCATGCGGAGCTGTTGCTAGGGGGCAAGGGGCACAGGAGGGGGGGGGGGGGGGGGGGGGGGGGGGCATCTCCCTCGAGAGAGAGAGAGAGAGAGAGAGAGAGAGAGAGAGAGAGAGAGAGAGAGAGAGAGAGAGAGAGAGAGAGAGAGAGAGAGGATGACTCCCATCTGTGATATATCAGGAGCTATTGTCCTCAGCAGCCCTGTGAGGTCAGGGCTTCCAGAGCAGTGTGCACATGTCATTTGCCAAGTGTGGGGGGCGGAGGGGCAGGGAACACACACACACACACACACACACACACACACACACACACACACATAACACACACACACACACACACATACACACACAGAGAGAGAGAGAGAGAGAGAGAGAGAGAGAGAGAGAGAGAGAGCTTTAGGATGACTCCTCCGATCTGTGATGTATCAGGAGCTATTGTCCTCAGCAGCCCTATGAGGTCAGGGCTTCCCGAACAGCGTGCAGATGTCATCTGCCAATGATACCGTTAATGCCAGTTAGTTACATGTCAGGATGTCTTCGAAAGCAAGTGTAATACCAGTGTAATCGCATCATCCTGAGCTTTTGCCACGTCGTTACGAATGGAGCATGGGGATGGGAAGGAGAAGCTAATGGTTGGTGGAAATATAAGCCCGAAAGATGGCAGTATGGGGCTGGGAGAAAGGAGGGGAAACGGGCGGCATGCTCCAGTGGCTGTTAATCAGGAAGATTGGTGGCTAACTTTCGACTTCACACAAGAGGGCATTGGTTGTATCAAGGGGGGGAAGCGGTAATCTCAATTGTGTGAGAGCTGCTGTCCTCCTTTTATTTGTTCTTTTTTTTTCCATTTTGTCTTGTCTTGTACCGACCTTTCGTTGTCCAGAAATACTACAGAATGGTGTTTGGATATGCTTTTGTGAAACCATGAGAAACTCATGCAATCGGTTGCTTCAGCTCGTATGCAACATATAGCTGTTTTGTTTGTGTGAATGAAGACTGGTATGGTTTACCTTGGCATAACAATCATCATCAGGTCATGCGAAGGGGGACAAAGGTAGTGTGGCGGTCGAGATTGTGTCTTGTCCAGCTATCATTGCGCAGTCCAGGAAGATGGAAATGATACATTGTCATTGTATGCACTAGAACTCAAACTCACATCTCTCTCTCTCTCTCTCTCTCTCTCTCTCTCTCTCTCTCTCTCTCTCTCTCTCTCTCTCTCTCTGTGTGTGTGTGTGTGTGTGGATCCTTTGATCGATTGATGCCTGAACAGGCACACGTGTACTAGATTGTTATTTCTCGTTCTGATACCGTCGACCTGCGTATCTGTGCTGACTGCTCTTAGCCAGCCAGTACAGGAAGCGACAGAGCCTGATGGTGTGCAGGGCAGGGCTTGGCCGGGAACTGGCCAGTTCTGAGCGGCCCATGGTCCATTTCAGCTGGTCTGACAGGAATTCCAGTTGGGCGCGAAGCCAATAATTTGTTTTTTTGTTTGGCAGTGGGGTCTGACTGTGCTCTTCAAGAGTAGTTGGGATCCGCTAAGAAAACCTAGGACTGGCAACCTTCCTTTCTTTTTCCTTTTTTTTTGGGGGGGGGAGGAGGATGCAGGGGAGATGGGTCTTCCGGTACAGGGGGGTCAGTGGCAGAGGAACAGCAAGTGGGGTGGTCAATGTGCGAGGGAGGGAAAAGACAGCAATGGGGGAAGGGGGAGCTAGGAACCGTGCTATAGCGCATAGAGCCGTCGAACGCCGCTCAACCCCCCGCACCCCCCGTTCTAACCCTGTTCAACGGGGAAAATCGGGCTTCCTGCGGCTTTCGGAAAGATGCCTGGTGTGGGCTGCGCTGTGGGTGGTGCACGCCAGGTGCCTAAAGGTCCCTAACGCCGTAAGTGTTGGGAAAGCAGGGAAACGGGCTGTTCCCAAACAGTTCGGAGACCGGGCCTGAGGACGGCTGCCATTGATCAATCTCATCGGCGGCTGTTGTTTCGTTTCGGCCTCCTAATAGGTTGGAGGCCCACCCTAGGCCCGCTATTTTTTCCCACTCGGAAAAGGTACTAGTGGTTTAACGGAAAAAGAAAAAAAAGGAGCACAACTGCCAACCCCCTCCCCCTGGCCACCCCCCCCTCTCCCACTCCGGGGCACCACCCCACGAAACGGCTTGAATTCCAACCATCACACCGACCACGAACAACCACCCCTCCAAAACCTGACCCACACAAAACATTCAACCCCTGCCAAAGCTCTCTCTCTCTCTCTCTCTCTCTCTCTCTCTCTCTCTCTCTCTCTCTCTCTCTCTCTCTCTCTCTCTCTCT